GAACCCCTGCATCATTCATTACCCATCCATGCAAATTGGCGTTGAAAATGTCAGACTGTCGGAGTGGAAAACAGAGATCCCAAAAGAATGGCAGACAAAAACCAATGGCAACATCATCATCATAGTCGTCATGGCATGCAGGAAAAATAAATTTTAAATTATAATCAATAATTTATATTGAACTTTTGGTAGCTGAAATCAGAAGTGAAAAAATCCTATCGTCCATCTGCATTGGCTGTGGATGAACTCAATTGGCATTGATGAAATGGAGCGTTTTCGTGTGGATTAATTTATAATATGCATATATGTGGGTCAGACATCTGTAGCGGGAATTTTTGTGGTAATATGTTGTGGTGCACCATTGGACATAAATCAAATTATTGAAAACATATGTTCTGGTAAATACAAAATGGTGTTTTCTTTATAAAAAGTATGTATTAAAAAAGGATATCACGTTAAAGATCGCATCTATGGTTGAATGGTACAAATCACCACACTCTTATAATCACTTTAGGTGTCTAAAAGTATGCAGTGAATAAAGGATAGTTGTTTCTTATGAGCTTAAAATATATTGTTGCATACTTCTTGGCACCTTGAGTGCAATTTAAAAGCTATTTTAAAGCAGAGTGTAAAAATCACATTTAAATGTAAGTTTAGGTGTCTAAAATTAGTTTAGTGAGTTTAAAGGACGTTGTTGCATACTCTAAGACACATAAAATGACATCTAAAATTGATTTCAAAACCCTAGTGATATCTGTGGCACCCCCGTATATTTTAGAGGTTATTTATCTTTATTTTTGAGCACTTTTATCTACTACTTGTAAAAGGTTGTAAATAAAATCTTTAAATTCCAAAGTATTTTCCGCATGCAGTGCAAGTGCCAACTTCTGGCAGCCTGAGGCCCCAATGGAGCTGTGGAATCCGAATTCTGGAATTCGGTCCAGTCGACGACGTGTTGGTCCTCAAATCGAGCCACTCGGGAGTTATGGAACGAAAACACAATGCAGAAATGCGCAAAAATAAAAAGTAAGCCGAGAGAAAAACCCACAACAGCGACGAAACAAATGGGCCCAGTTCAGTTGCCTTGTTTCTGGGCTCCTCCCATTTTCACTTTTGCTGCACCCTGTGGATTTTTTTAATTAAACCAAGCGACAATTTGACATCAATATCGAAATTAAGATCTTGCAGAGGCCGTAAAAAATAAAACAAACAAAAAACGTGCTGAAAAATGAAAGGGAAGTTATCAGAGCGCCACCTCGATTTCTTTAATGTGAGTGTGAGTGTGAGAGCGGGACAACAACTTCCGTCACATGCTGAAAAAGCGGATATCCGGTACAACAAATTTCTGTTGTACTCGCTTCGAACTTCTGTAAGGGGGCAAACATCGATTTTAGGGTATCTAGGGCATTACAAAAGTCGAAGGTCCCATGAAATTATTTATAATTTTATCTCTTAGGTGTCATAAATTTTTTCAAAACTGCAAATACAACCCCTATTTTTAAAATCGTAATAAATAAATATGATTTATTAAAATGTAAAACACGACTTTAATAACAAATTTATTTTAAATATTATATCGTATCATATCTGTACCACTACAAAACGCTCAAATAGAAGTAAGAACACTTTGAAAAAAAATATTGTATACTTTTCGGAGGCACAGTATTTATTACGACCTTAAGAAAAGAAATTTAACACTTTTTTATATTTTAAACATTTTTAAAATGTAGTAAAAATTGCCGTCTAGATGGAATTTTAGTTTTTCCTTATACATATTTTCCTTGATTTTTACAGAGCATCACAGACCCACATTTTGCCGCAACTTTCCCCCGACTTTCTCTTATTTTCGCAACATTTCAGTTTTGTTTTGTCGTTTTCAATTTGCTCTCGTCCTTCGTTCGCTTATTGCTTCTGTTTATGTGTAAATCGTCGGCTGGGGGCGGAATGTGTGGGTGGGCGTGGCCGGGCCGGATATTGATGTGTTATATGCGATGTTGTGACTGCAATATATTTGCCAAATGGCTGTTGATGCCTCCTCGTCCTCGTTCCCCAGCACCCTCGGAAAAAAAAAATGGGAGATAAAGGTCCACACACGCGGCTGCGGATGCAGGAGCAATAAAATTTTCGGTTCACAGGACTCGAGATGGGGAAATAATTGCGGCCCAGGCCCCTGAAAGTGTTGCCATAAAAATGCAAATGCCAAATGCCGCAAAGTTGCGAATGAGTCCGGGGAAACAAATAATAATGAAACCCTCGACAGCGGCAACATAAATCCGTTCTGGCATATATAACAAATGACAAAATGAAGAGTTGAAAGGGAAACAAATCGAGCAAAGGAGATAAATAACCCACGCCTTTGGGACTTTAATACATTCACGAGTGTAAAATCGAGGCAGGCAATTTTTACCGACGATATTATTATTTATCACTCAAAGCTATCAAAGCCTCATAAAAAAAATACAATAAAAACAAAATTAATCTATGGTTCAGTATCAGATCGAATGACAACAGCTTGTCAGACCAATCGAAAATGAATAATTAAAATTTTCCTATCGGCGGATTAAAGTTTATGGGATAATGATTACTAACCAATTTTCGAATTAAATATTACACATGCAATTTAATATTTATAAATGGTAAACCATAAATTAAACCAAGCTTAAAACCCATATTTTGAATACCTATTTAAATTTATAGAGAGAAATGGGAAGGTGTATCTTTAATTTCTAAACATACATTTTGAAATGTCTAAGAATTTTTTGAAATATTTTCACAATTACATATAGATATATATTCCTATATGACTTCAACTACAACATAATTTTTTTCTAGCCCAGCAACTTTAATAAGTTTTTGCATTTTCTATATCATAATCAACTACTTCCACATCTTCTCATTTAAAGTTATACTGTGGGTGCCTATTGCCTATGTAAAGTTTCTAATTAAGTTGAGTGACTATAGAAATTCCATGGTTGGCACATCAACAAAAAGGATATGGTCTTTTATATGACTTCAAGTTTAAATACACATTGAGACTAAGTTTGCTTTCAAAAGTCAAACAAAGCAAATCTGAGTTATATTTAAATCAATATGAAATAATTATTTCACATCTCATATACAAACATGATTTAATTTAAATAAGGCTAAAATTAAATTTCGCTTTTCTAAAATTCTAAATGTGGGTGGGATGCCCTGGATAATGGGGAAAATGGGGCGTATGGATTTCAGTTTAGTTGCCTTCAGCTGCGTTTTGTTACATAATAGCTAAAACTTTGCCAAAGCGAAGTTTTTGTATCTCAGCTGCGTTCATGTATCTGTATAAATTGCATTTGTATCTGGTTCTCAGTGTTGCAATCAGAATAGTCTGTGCTGTGTGTGTTTTCTCTCATCTAATTGCAGTTGAAAATTGTTAGGCGGCTTTTGAAGTTTTTAATTGAATTTCGCTTATGGCCCGGTCTTGGCTTAAATGGAAAACATTCATAGAATAGTGCGATTTAAATGTATCATTTCTTTGTGAAATTTTCTTTTTGGTATTTCTAGTCCTTGCAAATGTGCCAAAACCGAAATAATACAACTTTTCGCCTTTTGTGTGTATCAAATAACAATTACTGGGGCAAAATACAAAAAAAAGATATACAAAAATACAAATACGAATATATTTGCTTCTCAAATGTTTCCCCCTTTAGCATATTTATATTTGCTTTATGCTATTTGGCCTCGTCTTGAGTTGTCCTTGAGGAAAGCTTACCAGGGAAATATGAGAAAATTTGCACAAAGCTTTTCGCAATAATGCCCTAGGGACTCGAAAAAGACAATCACCTGGTTGTTCGGGGTTGAATGGGGTTGCAGGTGGGCTGCCGGGGGTTAAGTGTTTGTTATCATCTGTTTATTGAAATTGCGTATCAAATGTTCGTTTTTAATCAAAAGGGCAGAATAAATCCATGCGGAATTGTGTAGGATTCCCATTCAACAAAGTAAACAAGAAAGGAAATGAATAACAATAAATATGTTTAGAAAAATTACAGAGAATTGAATATCATGACTTGTCTTCAGTTATATATTGTTTAGAATGTGCTGCTTATTTCTCACTTATTTTTATTATTTTATTTTATTTGCTCAACATTTCCTTCACAATAAAAATTAATGAGTGGCGTCTTCAAAAAGAGTCAATAAAAATTTGGAATGCGATGCTAAATGCAAAAAGTATGGGTTCCTAATATTAAAAGTTAAATACAAATAACAATTAAAATGTTTGAACAAGTGTTTGGTTTTTGGTGCAAGATGATTAAGTCAAATACAATATGCCGTCGAACTCTGTAAATACAGCCTACAATGAGCAGAAAAAAGAATGCCTAAGTCGAAAATATTTTATAAACATTAAAGTCAAATGGTTCAGGTCTCTTCAATTCAGTCATTCAAAGACAGTCAAACGCAACAGGTTAAAATTTCCTATAATGCAACTACTTTCCTTTATCTTGCAAGCTTTTTGCCTATTTGGTTGCATTTTGGCTCTAAGTAACGGTGAGTATATATGCTAAAAAAATATTTTAATTTAACTTTATTATTGATGATTAAATATTTTAATCATTTAGCAAGCTGTGGTGCCAAATACCGTGGCGTCGGCCTTTGTAAAATGTTAATTACAAAAGTTGTTTATATACCAAGTGAAAACATATGCAGAAGGGTTCACATTACCGGATGTTCAGCTGATGGAACTTTCTTTAAAAGCATTAAGGCATGTGAAGCCAAGTGCATAAGATAGTACTAAAAAAAAGACATCATTAAAATAATCTATACAAGTCTTATAATTTTTCTAAAATATAAAAATAAATGCTTTGTATTAATTTTGGGTGACCTGTATTTTCTTTATAAATCATTTATTTAATTTCTACCTTAAACTCTTTTGAATTATAGTGTAATCATATTAGTTGCGGACATTAGGTCCACTAATTGTCATTAATTAGTTTAGTGTTTCTGTTCTGTTAGTAGTCCCCCGTCAGTCGAAAAGAAAAAGAAAAATATTTTCCTACATAGAAAGTTAATAAGAGGAATTGTTAAATACCCCTTGACAACAAATGTGAAACGAAGTAACTTTAAATGTTTATTATTTTAAACTGCTTGTTTTTAGATTTTATTTAAAGTAATATCTTTTATTTTCTAGTTTCGCAATAAGGGAAAAGCGATTTGGCAGAACTTTTCCTATTTGCCAGAAGGTCGTTAAGACATCAACAGCTTCGCTCCTGTTGGCTTCTTCCCACCTCTCCTTACACCCCTTTGCCATTTTTGTATTCATATTTCGTTTTTTTTAGAAAACTTATGCCCTGGGCAAAACTAAAGCCATGAAAGCATAATGACAACCCCGACGACAAGTGCGCGTAATGGCTGAATAACAACAAAGTTGAGGAGTGCAAGAAATGGAAGCAGGACGAAGGACGAAGGACGAAAAACAAGGAACAAAACTTGGTAGACAATTAGCAATGGGACCCAATGTGAATTTTTCGAATTTCAGTCGGGATTTTTCTGGGAACAGAGAAAAAAATTGGTATACAAATACAAATTTAAATATTTTCAGATTTTAGTCAAAACCTAAAAAAACTACTACTACTACTTTGTTATTATTATAACCCATTATTATAATAACCTACATATACTTATTTTCTACGAATAGATAAGTTAAATAATGTATAAAATTCCAAATTATTTTAAACATATTTTAAACATGCATTGAAACAAAAACATGGACATTTTTAAAGACCATTCAATTTTATAAATGTTTAATAAATTAATTTTATCAATTTATATCACTGATGTTTATTATAAAATTAAATATTAGCCATTAAAATATTTTTAAAAAATCGATATAGATAAAAAATAATTCCTAAACAATTTAACACATATTGGTTATTCCTATAGAGGTTCCCATAATTTCCGGACCACTGCACACATCGTTATTCTTCCAGTGCAGCTATTTGGAAGCCTCCATCGCGACAACATTAATTAGATTAAAATGCCTACAAATCATTTTGGAACGGCACCCGAGTGGCACTCTTTGGATTTCGCAGCGAGTGAGCTCGGTAAGCTCACACATTATTCACACGCTTCGAGGCGCGCAATTTCCCGCCATTTCACAAAATGCAAATTGCGCACAGCCAAAACAAGATGGAAAAACACGGAATAAAAATCGGTACTGGCCCCAAGCAATTTAAAGCAGTGCCGGCCAGGGATAACGCAATCGAAATCAGTCCGAAAATGGCAACAAAAAACATCAGCGGGGGTCCATCCCGAAACAATTACAAAACTATAAGCCTCCAAAGGGTTCGCGTAGCAAATAAACAAAAAATGCAAATCGCCCAGGAGGAAATCAGGATGCGATTGTGGCAGGGGGAATCCCCCAGAGAAGGCCACACAAATTGTACGCTATCATCTAAGGGATCGACTTTGGTGCTGCCCTGCAATAAGCGGATCTTAATTGGTTTCTCACACCCTGGAAAGTAAAAGACCTTGTTACATGGAGTAATTTCGAAGCTGTGGGAGCCAAATCTCTGGCCAGCATAATTAAAGGGAGCCATGAGTAATGGCCCTTGGCGAAGATGTGAGCTCACAAAGCTCATGTTAATTACAAAATAAGTCCTTTTTGGTACGGGAACAATGAGTGGATTTTGCGGGAATTTGAAAGCCCAGCTAAGTCGTGTGGCTAATCCTTAAGAATGCAAATACTCTGATTAGTAATTTACAGAGTTTTTAGTTGTCTTGCTAATATTTTCCTAATTTTATAAGGAAAATTTGAGACCAAACCGTGAATTACTTGCTTAAAATGCCGAAAAGTATGCAACAATATATGTTTACGAGGGCTTTGTTCTAAAATACGAACATCATTTGTTCATAGCATACTTTTAGGCATGTTTAAAAATGTTTTTAGAAACCTACTGAATTTTTTTGTACTTAGACTTACAAAATGTGAAAAGAACAAGTTTGTCATTTTTTTAACTAGGCGTATACTTAATTTCACACCCCATTTGATTTCTTATAATAAAGGGGTACATTGGTGTTTTTAACTGACTTAAAAGCTTAATCAATTAAATATAATATAAATGTTGAAGAGGAAAACAAAATAAAAATGTTTAAAACATTTATTTTCCTTACATTTACCAACCCTCAATTAAACCAAACAATTACTCACAGCGAGTTGTATGGCAGAGCACTTCCCGCAACTGACAGCCTGAAAAGCAGGCTCCCTTGCCGTATAAAGTCGCCAACTTCTTCCCCCATCGCTTAACACATTCAATAAATAAAAGGGGGAATTTCACTTTCAGCTCAACACTTTTGCCAGCGAAACACTTGCACTCCTTTCGCCAGGACGAAAGGCATGTTGAGGCATCCTTTTAGCCAAAGCCGTGCTTTCCGGCCTTTGTTTTTGCCGCTTTTGTTGTTAGGGTGCCGCAAAATGCCTTAATCATGGCTCGTAAATCTTTGATGTTTCATTTGTGCCAAAACGCTAAGCGATTTTTAAAATGGTTGTGGGCCGGTTAATCCGCAATGCCATAAATTATGGGCTCAGAATGCGGCAAAGTCTCCTCTTGCATTACATTAGCGATACAGCACCGAGCTAAACTCGGTATAAGTCTATCTAAAACTGGGTTTTGCAGCTCCCCAATCGAATTCGATTCAATTTGGCACAAAACAAAAAATCAAAATGCACAAGTTTTGCTTGATTTCATCTCCCCTATTTTTTTGGCAAAGGCTAAAAAAGCGCAAGGCAAGCCAAGGCAAAGCAAAGCAAATCGAAGTGGAAAATGCTGCATAGAGCAGCAAATATCTAGAATAAATTGAATATAAATACGAAATCAAATGGAATTTGATTCGAGCGAGCTACAGGACTCAGAACTCTCTGATTCACCATAGTTGATTGAAAGGGATTATGGCAAGTGGTTTTTCCCCCAGAACTTCATCTTTTACGTTAGCAACTTGGCCAACTGCTGGAATTGTGGTAATTCCGATCTTTAGTAATTGGCCCTGTGGGGAAAAAGAGGAAATAAAATCGGCAGCCAATTCGCTGGCGAGTGCTTCACATTCCTGTGCATCGGTCTCTGTTTCAGCTGCTGGAGCTCTTCAAGTGCATTCCAATTAAGTGCGCTGGGTAACAGTAAAAGCTTTCTAGTCCCACTAATTTTCCCGCTTTTCTCGCGCTTTTCTCCCGCTTTTCCCGGCTGCCTGCGCTTAATGGGCCACCCGCAAGTGTCGCCAGCGCTTTTGGGGTTTTCCCTTTTCGCGTATAGGCGTACCGATGGAAGTGCGGTCAGCTTTATTTCGAGTGCCTCAATCGGTTTACTGGAGGCGACAACTAGTTCTAATGGGACTTCAATTTCAGGAACTTCTTAAATTTACCAGTAAATAGATAGTTTACGAATAAAACTAAAAGTTTTAGTAAGACTGCTAACAAACTTACACGAGGAACTTAAAGAAATGAAGTATACTACCCTTTAGAACCATTTAGCATTTTCTGAAAGAAAAGAAATGAGGAAGTAATCCTTATTTCACCATTATGTCTAAGTTCCAATGATATATTTTCTTCCGTCTTTTAAAAAAATAATGTTGCATTCTTTTGGACACCTTTGTAAATTATGTATGTCTAAGTTCAAATGCTATTTTTTGTCGTCTTTTGGAATTAAGCCATCGGACTGCTCCGTTTAAAATGTAATGTTGCATACTCTTAGGCACCATTATAAATTTCGTCTTTGTTCCTGTTATCCTTTTTTATATCTTTTGGAATGAACTTTTCGCACTGCTCTATTTAAAATATAAAATACCAAAGTACAAGTGATTTTTGAATCACCCTGACTTTGTTTTAATAACTGTTATACAAATATTTATCATTGGTGTAGGAAACCTTTTGCATAAATTATCAAAATGAGGATTAATATAAAAATGGAAAGTAACACATCTACTAAATATAGTATTTTGAGTTGAAATTTTCTTTAGAAGAAGTCCTTAAACCATCAACTTTAACCAGCAAATGGCTTTTTAAAACTAGACCATGAACTTGGTGTGTATTTTTCGTAAAGTTTAAGACTATTCATGATTTTGAAGGCTCTGTTCCGCCCGCTGGAAAGTTAACCCTTCAAAGTCATATTGCTCCAATCTCGATTTCCTCCCCAGCCAGTGGGAAAGCTCCTTTTTGCCTTTCTGACCAGTACAAATGTGAAAATTGTTTGCCGGCCTCGGCCTTTCAGCTTTTCAGAACGACTGTCAAACGCACTTGGAAGTCGAGTTGGAAAGCCGCCAGTTGTATGGGTTTGTTTTTTTTAACAGCCTTGTAAAGTTACGCAATCGGAGAAAACTCCGGGCACAAAGTTACAATTGCAGGCGGCGACTGTGTGGGTGCAGTGGACCAAAGTTGGTCCAACTCTTTGACTGATTAGATGTCCAGCGAGGGAGCAGTTTAAACTTTAAAGTTGTCCCGATAGCAAAAACAATGAAAAATTCATTCCACTGCTCTTTGATTTGTTGCTGTTCCCAGCGAACCATTTTGTAAAAGTGGCCAATAAAGTTGAGCGGAAAAAAATGTGGTTACTAGTCCGAATCTCTTTTTACCTGTGAAACCAGCGAAATTAAAAGTGCACATGGTCGCAGCTATTTGAAATTTAGATGAACAGATGACATGGAGTTTTTTCGATTAAAGAATTCCAATTTAGTTTACCATGTGTCGTCAAAAGTTTTGGTGATTTTTTTCAAGCTCTAAAACATTATCTTCACTGCATATAACTTAATTAAACTAGAAATCACTAGTGTTTTTAAATCACTTATAAGAATGTCTAAAAGTATGCAACAATTTTTGTAAAGTCCCAAAGACGACGTTGCTTAGTTTACTGCATACTTTAAGACACCTTAACAAGTGATTTCAAAATCCTTTGTATGGCTCCCTTCCATTGTAAAAAGTCTACACCTGAAAGTTATACCCTACCAACAATGTTGCCGTCTGAAAGTAATGCTCAACATTATAGTAACCATCTAGTAAAAAATAAGAAGAACAACAATACCAACAATTTATGCCCATACATAAAAATATCAGTAAAAACGTAAGTCCGAAACAACAAAAAAGGCTGTAAAAGCCAGTCAGTAGTAAAAAGTAGTTTATTTAAGTAGCAAAGCGCGAAAAATGTTTTTTTTTAAGAGGGAGGTCATAAAGGATCCCTTCTTCATGCACGGTGTATTTGCATGTGTGGGAGTGTGTCAACTTCTGCGTGCATGTGTGTGTGTGTGAGCTTTTCGCTTCTGTTTGCTTATTTAAGTCGTTTGCAATTTCTGCACTTTCTTTGCACAGCCAACGCATAAAAAATAACACACAAAAGCAACTTCAGGCACTGATAAAAATTATCTTTAAAAATAATATTTTTAAACAAGAAAAGAGAAATAAATAAAATATTTTCTAAAAACGTAAGGAAACTTAAAGTTCTGCAAAAAAAGACAATCAAAAACTTTACCGTGAATATATAAATATATATTTTATATATAACATTTTTTTTGAACCCTCATTTTTAAAACCACATAAATTTATAGAGGTATTTATTAACATTTTTTTTTTCTTTTTGTACCATTTTTTCCTCAGTGTATAATGCGTTTATGTTTGTTCCTACGAATTCCCTTTATAACTGACAAACTTCGCTGGCAACTTTTGCAATTACCAAACTCACACACACGCATGCACTCAGACACATGGTAAATTGTACTAT